TTGGGAATAATATGTCAATGGCCGCTTATGTGTACTGGCGTATTTATATTTATTTCGTTGAATCACTTGTGAGTTGACCTGGGTTTGCTGTGCAGATATTTGGCCATATGACTGTGCCAGAATGTGCAGTGAGAAGGGATGATCTAGTTGCTGTAAAGACAATCTAGGAATGGAGAGGAGAATTAGAGATAGAAACGTAACCTTTCAAGTCTCTTGTTCAATTTCCCTGCAAAACCAGCATAGCTGGCTGCCATCTTCTTCAGCTCTGCTGGCAGGAGTACCACCACCAGTAACACCAGCACCCACAGCCTCTCGGTGCTTCTTGTCCTCTGCTAACCTCACAAAAAGGGAAAACTATGCCTGCACTGTGTTAATGTTTTCTGGAAGGAATAAGCACATTTTCATGTTACAAAGTAGAGTTTCTTTCATAAGCTGCCTGCGTTTACAGGGCCCTTCTCTATCTTACATCCTACAGAACACAAGAACTTAAAGGCAAGAAGATGAACCTCTAAAACAGTCAGAATGGAGATTTTGAATTGGGAGATCTGTGACAGACAGGCTGCCTGCTTTCACTTCAGCAATTTTCATGCAAAGGGAGCAAGCTTCAGCAAAGAGCTCATTCTACACCAGCCTGCCCTTTGGGGGCTGAATTCAAAGACCCTACTATGTGAGGAGCAGATTGCCTGGAAACTGAGCTGGCAGATGAGGGCACCTCTAACATGAAGAGCTGCTTGGAATGCAGAATTATTGTTATATCGATCTCTTAAAACAAACTAAGTAAACCAACCAAATAACAACCACAACAACAAATAACAATAAAAAAAACAACAACAAACCAACAAAACAGAGTGAACAAAAGCTCGAATCTGACAGTTTGATACCTTTCTGGTAGAGAAGGTTAAAACTATTGGGCTGCTAAGCTAGTTTAAAACTACTGCTTACAGTAGTAATAATTGCATCAGAGAAGGTGCTCACAGAAGGTATGTGCAGATTTTTCCCATAATTTCCCTCCCCAAGAAATCTACAATATGCACAGTTTTGGTTTTCAAGAGACAATCTGAATATTTGCTCTTTACTGCCTGACTAAATTATTCTGTGATCTTGTCTTGCTGCTTTCCGATCAATCAGGAGCTTCAAGCAGCTTCAAGATCTGCAGCTTATGTAGGATTGTTTGCAAGCATGTGATCAGATTTGGGATGATCCTGCATGCGGTTCACTCAAATCAGAAGAGTACACAGTAAATTTTCCTTATATAGTGTTTGTTTGGAATTAGTAGCTGCAAATAAAGCAATGGATTTTTTGGCTTCTGGAAGTGCCGACTGACTTTTCAGTGGCTGGTGGGGCTTTTTCTCAGTATTTTTGTTTCTTCCCTCTGGTGACAGCATACCCTTCTTCTTACTGACAATCTCTCAGAAACAGGAGAAAGTTGTGACAAAAGCATTAACAACCATATGGCATTACAAACTTGGGCAACCTGGCAAATGCTGGGGAGGTTTTCTGAATCAGTGGCAAGCGGAAGAGTGAACGTGAAAGGCAGAAGAGTACTTCGTGACATGGAAGGAGATGCACAACCAGACCTTTGGATGGCTCTGCAGAAAATGACAATGTGAGAGTGGTGGCTGTGCCCTCCCTCTTTCTCACATAAGGCCAAGCAATGTGCTTAGCTGTGTATTGCCTCTGAAGGGCATCAACACTGTTATAGGAAATCTGGAGGTGTGTTTCATTTTAGAAAGGGCTTTTGAGGCATTTATTATTTCTGCAGCATTGTGCAGCCACTTTGAAGCACTCTTCTTAAAATTAGGCTTTTCATTTGGAATTTTTTTTTAAAGTCTGTGATGCTTGCTTCAGTTTAATTCATCATACATTTCTGTTAGTTGACTAGTGGGTTCCTTTTTTTTCACGGTACTTTTAAACTTTCACTTTGAGGAAATGTGTCCTAGAAAGCTAATCAAACAAGCTTTTGCTCTGGATAACAAAGGGCAGGAGGAAACTGTTGCAGTAGCATTGATGCACTGAGCTGAAGATAATAGTAAGCAGTATCACAAGCAGAAAGAAAGTTGGAAAAAAAAAGATGGTTTTTCTTTTTTTTTAAGATGTCTCACCATGCTCTGACATAAAGGATGTAGATCCCCTCTGATAAGGTTCCCTGCAGGTGCCAGCAGGAGCAATCAAAACCGCTATTCATGATGACAAATGTTTTCTACCTATCAGGCCCCAGTGAAAAAGCATGCAATTTCTTCACTGTGAAAAATATTTCATCTTTTGATTTGTCTAGCCTGACTGATGGGCTGGGCTTTTAGACAAAGTAAAAAGAGAAATCTTGTTCCAGGTACTCTGGGATGTGCTCTACCCTTACTTGGGGTGTCAGGGCCCAGCAGGACCTAGCAGTGCTCTCTGGAAGGTTTCACCAGCCAAATCCACCACTGGTGTCAGGAAAGGGCCTAAGAAATGTGGAAGCCCCAAGCAAGAGTGATTCCTGGACATGGCAACCCAGGCCTTATGAAGAGACAGATGTCCTTCACTTGCATTTGCCTCGGTGAAAAGCAGAGAACATGTTCTTCAAGATTTTGAGTCCAGCAGCTGGCTTTGGGATCTTGTCTGAGTGAGACACCCCTTGGTGCCACCCTGATTGGCCTAGTGATGCATGCAACTAAAAGAGGTTACTGATCCTTTGTACCTTGCCTGCTGCTCTGTACATCACAACCCACCTCTTAAACAAGTGTTTTCTTCAGCAGCTGGAGCATCCAGATGCTGCAATCTGTTCTGCCAGCAGTGGAGGCTGAGCAGCAGCGTTCACACTGAGAACTTGCTTTCTGACAGAGTATTCCTGCTTCACTTGGATATTGGACCCCATGGGAATAGCTGATTTGTTCAGCCACTTGTTGACGTCACATTGGCCCTTTTACCCTTCTATTGAAGAAACTTGAGTGCCAGCCACATTGTCACTGACATCCTGGACAATGTTTCCACTGCTGGAGGTAGCACATGGTGCAGCTCTCAGGATAGCAAGAAGAGAAATGATCACCTAAAATGCCTTCTGTAAAGAAAGGAGGAATATTTCTCCCTTATTGACAAATTAAAACACTTTCTACACCCAACCAGAAAGTAGTCAAGGGCCCATCTGTTCCGATGCAGATGTGCCCATTGAACTCCTATGATGATAAGCACCATATGCTCAACTCATATTGTCCTTGACGTGGATTCTTCTGCTACTGTATTGTGTGAATGAAGATACTTTAGTTCATATCCAAAGGACTGGAGGAGACAGACACCTTTTTCACATCGTGTAGTAAACTAATTTCAGATTACTTTGCATTACTGAAATTGCAGGTTGCAAGATCATGATCACTAATGCTCTGAGCTGAAGAATTTACAGCATTTGTAGTGTGCAGAGACAGAGGGAAGCAAGGTTGATTTCTATGTATGCATGACCATCTAGATGACCCCTTTCCTATTGCAGACAATCAAAAAGCAATAGAGGAATTAAATTGGTTGCAACAGGCACTGACATAACACAGATAGAGTACTTAAAGAAATGTAGCCTGCTGAAAGGATGTATTTCACATGTGCATGTGAAACCCAGCTGAAAAAGGTTTTATGTAACTCTTCCCTCTGACTGACTGACTGACTTTGAAAATGTACAGTCACAGCCTGAAGGCTGAAAAGTCCCCTCTGCTACCCCTAACCTTCAAATTACCGCATGAAAACACTGTTGGAAAAAGAATGTTTAAAGCAAGATCTTTGGAGCTAAGATGCCTCTGCTAAACCTGGAATTGCTCACTGAAATTTACTTGAAAGTAGCTGGAGGATTTATCTGCTCTTTCGTTCATGAAGAGGTTTGTGAGCTCTTGCCATGAATGAGTGACTTCAGCTAAGGGTACTGATCTCTCTCTTCCAGCTCAGTGCATTTGCTAATGTGTCAAAAGAGAAAGAAGCTTATCCTGCCTGAGTGGCTGCTGCCTTCTGCAGGAGGACCACAACTGGCTGGTCCCGGCACTGGTGCTGCACGATTCTGGGGGGCCAGAGCTCCAGGGGCCTGCTTGCCCCTCCAGAGAGAGTGAGCTGCACATTTTCAAAAATACTTTAAAAAGTTTGTATGTTTGAGACCTCTTACAAATTGGTCTGCAAATGCACAATATTTGGAAGTTTTTCTCTCTTCTCTCCCCAGCAGTGACAGTGCACTAGAAACAATTCCATATGGCTATGGAATAAGAATAGGAAGAAGGGAGGAGCACTGATTAGTTCAGCCATTTGTTGCTTTGACAAGCTGAAAGTAGTCAAAACTGTCCTCTTGACTGTTTTGTTTTCCATGCATGTGAAATAAATTCTACACAGCGTATTTCATGATAGAGAATCCTCTTCAGGATGAAAAAGGGATTTGAATTCAGTATATTATGTTGAAATTTTCCATTGCTCAAATCTCCAGACTTGAAATGTATGTTGCAGAGAGATCAGTAAGGACAATTAGAGGGCTATGCCTTCAGCTTTTGCTTTTATGCATTTCTAACCTCATCTCAAGGCAGAATCTTTCAACTGTAGTGCATGTAATGCATGTAGCGCATGATGAAGACGTAATGGTAGGTCAATGCCACTATAATGTCTAAAGAAAAGGTGTAACTGCTGTGATGTTGGCTTTTAACACTGCACACGGTTTTCAGTGATTGCATCCTGCATGGCTCTGAGAAGAACATATTAATAATTTGTAATGACACATGGCTTCTAAACTACTGCATTCCTTTTTTCTCTTTAAAATAAATGAAAAACTACATAATCTTCTTGCAGCTCATGCTGTATCAGAGATGGTTGTGCTTCTAGGAGGATATTCACTTTTTCAAAGTGTCAAAACATGTACTCCAGCACTTAGGGAGAATGCTCAGTCAAAGCCAGCCTGCTCTCACCTCTGACAGACTGATTAAGAGGAAGTGTTTGGTACCTACATAAGAGGTCAGATTAGTTATGCTGAATGGGTGCTGTAGAGAGCGGGACAGCCAGCGACTTACCACATCAATTATCTGCAGCAAAGAAAGCTGAAGCTCAACTACAATGGGCTGGGAGTCATTCACGACCGGGCGCTCCAGACGATTGTAGTTTCTCAGTAGATCTCTGTACAAGCGTCTCTGGCTTTCACCCTGCTGAGAGACTAGGGGAAAAGAAAGGTCACTGTCACTCAGGCTGGTCATGCTGTCCCGATGGGGACAAATGATGATTTTTCTGTTTAGCAAAAAATGCTTCTTAAGAAGCATTTCCCAAAAGTTCCCCAAAACTCTAATATAGGTGTGATGGACACGTCTTTTTTGCATATGTGACTGATGAACTTCTAAAGAGAATAACTATTAATGCTCTAACTATTTACTAACACTCAGGAACTACTGAACAGTCTTTCGGGCTCAGAGTAAAAGTTCCCCACATTTGGGCTCCTCTCCAGACAATGGTCAGAGGCTCCAAAATTATCAGACAGCTTGCTGGAAGGCAGTAAGAGAGCTTTTTTTATTTGCTCATTCTTATTTCCTATCAGTGGAGTGCAGTGTGCCAGCACTGGTGTTACTTGGATATATTCTGTGTTTATCCAGCATAAGCAACAGGTATACTCATTTACTCACAGCAGATTTATCAGGCTTTCCTGGGTGTGTGCTGAGGAAGTAGTAAAAAGCCTTCTTCATACTGTCTTCAGTTTTATGTGGCAGTCTCTCCAGGCTTTGGGTTACTTCCCTTGCCTTTCTTCCAAATAAGGTGATGGTATGAAGGCTAGAATATTTGATAGGTATGTATAATGGTGATACTGAACTGAAGGTGTTAGATGCTTAACTTCTCTTTCTGTGGGAATGATCAACAGAAGATGCCATGCAGACTCATAAACTTATTAATGACTACCAGAACTTCAATATGTGCTTAAGTAGCATAATGCTGCTGTGTATTGGCTCCTCAGCTTTCCGCTGGGTACAGAGAGAGTTCATGTAAGTGTTGTTGCTGTGCTTCCTGGCCACAACTATCATGGATGTAGCAGCAATGGATCAGGTCCCACCCCTGTCAAGGCCAGCAGTTTGCTGGGATACACTGCTCAGGAGCTCAGGTCCCCAGGAGGTGCAGGTGTTGGTACTCTGGCTGGTGTCAGCCTGAGCATTACTGAGAGATGCATCAGACAGGGTGAGCATCATGGACTGCAGCTCCCTGAGGACGAATCACTCTTGTCAGTGTGAGTGTGCATTTCCCGATCTGTGGAAAACCAATCCCTGAGAGGGAATCTACTCTCTGAATTGTTATTACTCTGGACTGAAGCATTTTTACTCCATTGCATCTCCTGGTCTCTGTGTGTGTGAATCTTAAACTCTTGACCAGAGCTCTTCACACTGAGGCCAGGACTCCTCCCACAGTAGTTAATTTGAATGTCTTTTTGACAATCCAAGCAAACCCTAGGAGTCAGCTTTCCTCTTCCCCAACTTTTTACTGTGCTCAGCAAGCCCTGTAAGCCTGGAACAGGCATCTCTCAAATACAGAGCCAGACCTTTTAAAGCCGGTAATATTGCTCTATTTCTAATCCTGTTGAATTCATGTTCCCTTTGGCTTTCCTGATACTAAATGGAGTTTTGTGGCTTATGAATATGGCAGTGAATGAGGAGGAGAAGTATTTCTGTTTAATTTGGTGAGCTGCACTAACATATCAGTTTTATGGACACTCTCTTTTTTTGAATAATACATTACATGGTCATGGGGCATGAGGGGATGAGATTCTTTAGGGCTGCTCCAATAGCCCTTGCTGACACACTGAATGCCATGTTTAACCATGTGCAATAAGCAGTCCTGGTCACAGTTTCTCTGCTTCACCAGCTTAAACAAGCTTTCCTGCAAGGCATTAATTTAGGTTCTCAGTATTTGTTTTCCTGTGCCTCAGCACACCCCAATTCCCTTGTAAGACCCCCCTGTAAGAAGGAAAACAAGGAAAACAAGCAGCACAATGTCTAATGGACAGAGGCTCTATGATTTGAGTAAATTTGCTGTCCTTTCACTTACCCAGCACGCTCCCCTAGCAATCTTCTCCATGTTCCTGTGCTTTAGGGAAGGAATGACTGTCAGCACTTCTGCCCTCATCCTGAGTGCTTATGTAATGGTTGCCTCCAAAATTCCTTTTAAACTGTCTACCTCAGCTTTTGCAACAGAGAAGTGCCTTCCCAGGCTCTGGTAGTCAGCTCGACTGCTCAGTGCCCTGATATCACTACTGTTGTGATGCATTAAAAGAGCTCGTTCAGAGAGGTCTGACTGGGAGAGACATGAACATAACCTTAAGTATTCCAGGAAAATGTCTTCACACTGTGTAACTCAGCTTACAGCATTTTACTACATATTATTGTTCTTCTTATACCTGGTTTGCCACCCCATCCTCAACTCTCCCCTCTGCAGGGGGTCCTGTTATTTTCCTACTTCTTGTAACCAAAATTGTTAAGGTATCCTTAGCTGATCTATACATTGCCTGGCTGAATTGGCATGAATAGCTACATGTGTGCTCCCAGTTAAGTACACAAAATTACAGAGATTCAGAAGCAGTGAATGTCTTGGGGTCTCCTAGAATGTAGCCGTGGCAGTTGTTGGCATTGCAAAGACCCAGTAAGTCCAATCAGAATACCATTTCTCTGCTACGTTTGCTTCGGAGCAGGAAATGAGATGGGTGGCAAGTTAGACCTGTGTTTTCATAGACTTTTTCTTTAAATTGTAATTTTCAAATACTTCATGTCTCCTATTCCAGAGAGATTGCTGCTTTTTTCCCTTGTAATGCTTGTGTTAATGCATTGTGACACTACATCTCTGTGTGCTAAGTGGAGTGTTTGCTAGAGATGGGGAAGTCTGGATCTCTCAGGAATACTGGTAGAATAAGCTTTTCCATTGCCTACCCCTCAGACACAGAAACCTTATCAAAAGCAGAGGCACTGGGAGCTCACTGGTCCCTAATACATGTTCCACCTTTTCAATTAGGCTGGAAGTTGGGTGTCAAAACTTCATGATGCCAGGTTAGTCTCCCAGAGTCTGCTACCAAGCAGACTTGCTTGGCTATGTGTTTTACAGGAGAAGTACAAGTAACTGGCACAGACATTAAGAATTATGGTATCTAGCTGTAGGATCTTTGATTAAAAATGCTGTCCACTTTGAATAAAAAATGTCCCACTACCTCAGCCAGTATCCTGTGTGTTGCTGAATTATATAGGAAACAGTAGGAAATCATTCTCAATGAACACACAAGAAGAAATGGTAACAGAAATAGAAGAAATACAATTTTTTTTTAAAAAAAGATTTTTTTTTTTTAATGATCAAATTTGATTTCCACGTTCTTTTCTCATAACAGGTGCTGAGGACTTGGAGGAGATGTGCACTAGATACTGAAGGCCTCTATTTTGCGAAAAGGGCACCAAAGCTGGCTATATGTGGGACCAGAAATTGAAAACAAACAAGCAAAATAAAATCTGGGAACAGAACATGATTTCCAGCAAGGAACATTGTAAGCTTCTATAATAGAAGCTGTTTCATCTCAGTGTCCTCATCAAGGCTGCTGGATTTCTCTCTTGAAAATACGCTTTAAACAAAAAGCTGGAGTTATTAAGTGAAATGCAATTGCTAAAGGTAGGCAGAATTTTGGAGTATGTTGTGACTCAGCTTTACACTTTGTGTAACTTAAATTGGTTCCCTAAGCTGCTCCTGCATTTTGCAGACATTTGGCAGGCACAAGACAATTAACCCATGGCAGGGATAAAGTCCCCTTATGGTACTGTGAAGAGCTTTATGTAGAGTAGGAGTATTCATGGTCTATGTTAATGTATTCTGTACCTCTCTGAATCTCCTCTCATACAGCAGTCTGTGCAAAGTCTGCAACACACCCGCACTGCAATGTTCATCAGTTGATAATTGTGACCCATAAACAGCTACAGAATTCTTCTGGAAACATACATTATAATGAAATTGTATCTTTCTTTTTAGAACAGAGCTGCTGAGAACCATTTGCAAGGTAGCCTGCCCAGGAAATATTTCTGTATTGCAGTATGCTATCATCTTCTCTAACAAGAAATACAATAAAATATGTGTTCCTCCAAATGTGAGATTAGAGACATCCCTTGTGGGGAGCAGTGTGGTGTGCTGGATCAGGGAGTCCTATGATGTAAATGAAAAAATCAAAATGTGTCTTCTCTATGGACTTATTTCTGAAATGCATGGGAACAGCTGTCCTTCTCCTCCATTCACCTACAGCATGCTTGCCTTAAGTTACTTCTGCAAGAAATAAAAAAAGGCACCTTGCTACCAGCTCACAGTCTGGCTCCATCTTTCTTTGCATGCACACAGTTTGTATGTAGGATTTCAGCATTGTTAGTACAGACATGTTGCAATTCCCCAGACAGGTTAGGCAGAGTCAGTAGGAATAAAACAAGAAATATTTGGTTATCAAATAAACATCTGCAAAGCTTTAGTAGCTAAGCTGCAGAGATCTCCTCAGAGCAAGTCTAGAAGCAAGTTAATAACTGCATCCAGGAATCTGGATAAGTAGGGCTTAACAGCTAGAAGGAGAGAGGCATCTCTGGTAAGATTTGCATAGATGGTGTCTCATACTGACTATGAGCCACCATTGCTCCTATAAAGGGTTTTGAATTCTCTGAGATACTGAGATTAGATCAAGCTGCTGTTGGCTGATGTCAGCTCCAACTCAGCAACTGGGCATGCCTACACTCGAGCACAAAATTTCTTGCTGCCAGCGACGTCTGAGGTCAGATCTCTACAGCAACGTCAAGGAGAGCTGCCTCAGTTGGCATGTGTGCCTTGTGGTGACATAACATACACTGATCTGAGTGTGACTCAGGTATCTGTGCTTTCCACAAATCTAAAATTAGGTGTTTAAATGACCCCAAACCTCTTGGTAGGAAAAAAAGAAAAAGACATTAATCTGACCAAAACTAGTGAAGCCACTACCCCTACACTGTGTGCTGCGTGTGGTTTGATGGGTTGCACTGGCTTCCTCCACTAACAGTTTGCTTGTCCTCCTGAAGAAACACAAGGCTCCTGACAAGTGGTTATGGGCTGATCACAGACCACTTCTACCCTCTCTGTCTGCCTTGTTCTTCTGGACTTGGCTTGCTTCTTCTGTGCTGGAGTGACATCCTGACTTCC